CGCAAATGAAATGACTAGACAATAATCCAATATAATCAATGTCAGGCCACACAATAGCATTTGAATTTACATATCCTTGTGGAGCTGAGCAACAAACATCTCAATCTATACAAATAACTAGATGCAGGTAAGCATACAGATTTTGCTGTCCACTTCCCAGTATTTAATGACAGATGCAATGCAATGGGTTAGACTCAGCAACCTTACACAGCGCAGCAAATTCACTATTTTTAGCAGTGTTCATTACCATGCCACTCTATCCTTACCTGTCCAAGAGATAAATCACAAACAAAACCCAAAGACCCCACTGGACAGTGATGTCAAGACCTCTCCTTTTTATTCCCACACCAGAATCCCAGGAGTTGCACTGGTAAGAGTGTAAAAACTGCAAAGAGCAGAAATCCAGACACTACCCCAAGAAACTGGGACAACTGCATGCACACACGTACACTCATGTGCCACATGCCACGTGCACAGTTAAGATCCCCACATAGTTCTTCACTCAGTTTGACCTCAAGTAGAGAGGCAATCAAAGAGAAAGATGTAAAGTGTGTCAGTCCTTGTTATGCAAATAGCTAAACAGAACCAGATTGTGAAAAAAAAATTATACGTGGGAAAATCTACATCCTCAGGTCAAAGGTTTTCCACAGCACAATTCTTACTGAAGTATTTTCAAGGGCTGCATAAACCCCTGGGTAAAAGAGTGTATAATTCAAACTCTGACAGACAATTAACTGTAACCATGTTAACGGGTGTCACTGTAACAAACTGCACTGAACAGCTGCAGAGACAGAATGGGAAGAAAGCAGAGTTATGACAGATGTACACCCTGAAGACAAACTGAAAAACTGGCTTTTCCTGAAAGTAACCCACTAATGCAATGAAACAAAGACCTAATTATCTCTAGTACACAAGAAATTGCTTCAGAACACCTATTGTACAAATGGAAGTGAAGTGTGACACAACTTAATAAAATGGATAGAAGATGGAGACAATTTGGCTTCTATTATTGGGCTCTTTTTAAATAGCTTATTTATAACACCACCCCTTCGTCACTGACACCTGACATCACAAGAAGCTTTTTCACTTCTACCCTAGACCTAAATCAAGACAAACAAAAAAAAAAAAGGAAGCGCATCAGAAATAAGCTGTATTATTAAAATCCAGCTAAAACTTTTAAATTCAATTATGGAGCACTGTCCACAGTGCAAAGAGTCACAGACCTTAAATCAGGAGGAAAAATATCCTCCAAGTCTCATGAAACAAAGAAATACTTGGCAAACAAGGCCAACAGTATTCTCCACAGGGAATATTTCTACTGAACTCAGCACACCTATTCAAAATTTAGCAATACATGAGAAAAGCACAATTTGGCCATATCAACCCAACACTTCTCAGGAATCCACGTGCTCATTTATGCACCTGTGCAAGCCAGCTCATAATATTAACTTACTACCTGAGCAGTGGCAGCAAATTATTCCCAAACTGTGGGAGTGAGTGAAACTGACCATCCAAAATCTCAAGCAATGCATAAACTGGGTGCCAAGAATTAATGCAACCCAATCTGCACCCACTGCAGTTCGTCTCTTCCACCTAGGAAATGGTATCAGCTTGGTCATCTCCAGCTGAAAAAAGGACCATGAAGCAGCAGAACTAAACACATGGAGAAATCATTTGAGAAAACACTGGAAGTTTGTTTTGTTTTTTTTTTCACTAGGTTCTGTGAATTGGGAATGAAACCAGAGAAGCTGGAAGGGAAATCTGCAGCTGTGAGAGGAAAGGGGAGTTTATTATTATTATTTTATTTTAAACATATGTATTAAACACAGCTCAAAAGCAGGGAGCAAGTGGTATCTGAAGCCAGAGGGAAAATCCTGCCACTAAAACATACAATCCTTGCTGTTTCAACAATATCCCACTGAGTGTGAGAAACCTCTAGAAATAGAATCATAACAAGCATATTTTGGCATAACTTTAATGAGGGTTTTAGGTTTGCAAGTGTGGGCAGCTTCTGACTTAGTTAAAAGACAGCACCTGCTTAAAAAGAAAATTATTCCAAATAACAGCTAAATCTTTCTCTAAAAAATGGGGCTGGCATAAAAGCATCTTCAGCCTTTGACATTAAAACGTCAACTCAGTTGCGTTGCTAAATCCTGCTGGAATTTCTAATACTTCCACGGCCTGTTTCACTGGCAAGGGGTGGGGGCTGACAGATCTCGGGACGCCCCGGCTCTCACCTGCCGGTGACCCTAATAAACTTTCTCAGAATGAGGCGATCAGCTGAGCAGGAGAAGCGCAGGTGCGCTGAGCCCCGGCCGCCGCGCCCCCGGCTGCGGGCTCGGAGCCGAGAGGAGCCGGGGCTTCGGGAGTCACTTCCAAAGCGGCACTCCAGCCCGGCCGGGTGCCCCTCAGGGCGTCCTCGTCCTCCGCCTCCTCCCGCAGCGATCCCATCCCGGCTCCGAGATGGGAGCTGGCGGCAGGGCACCGAGCCCGGAGCCGCCGGGGCACGGCCGGCTGAGGTCACGGAGCAGCCTCCCGGCCGGGCTACACCTCCCCCGCGGGGGTGGCACCTTCCCGGCCAGCTCCACGAGAAGCAGCCCGGCTCACCCCCTCCTCCTCCTCCCTGCCGGCTCCCGCTCCTCCCCGCCGCCGGCCGCACCAATCCGCTCGGCCACGGCTGCAAATCAAACTTGGTGCCCCCGGCTCCGCCGCCCCTCGCTCCGAGCGCTGCCACTGCCGAAAACGGCCGCGGCACCTTCGCCGCCCGCCCCCGCGGCCACGCTGCCACGGAGGGGGGGGACGGGACGGCGGATCCAGCGGCAGCTCGGAGACGAGCTCATTTTCTCTGTCCGTCTCTCCTCCCACTCCCAGACAGTTCTGGAAACTGTGTTATCACCTCTTGTCACAGGAAACCAACCAGCAGGCGGTGCAAACAAACAAACACCCTCTGCCTCCACCCTTCCCAAAAATCATCCTATCGGGAACCAACGGGCGGGCGCGAACGGGAAGGGAAAAGCAAATAATTTTTAAAAAATTCCACAAATAAAGCCAAAACAACAAAATATGCCCCCCCCGCATTCCCGCGCCCCCCCAAAAAAAAAAAAAAAAAAAAACAAACAAACCGAACAACACCAAAATTCTTCTGGGAGCTGGCGACTACATAAGCCCAGGGCCGGGCAGGGTGGCTTTGTCTAAGAGGAACAAGTGGAATGATGGCTGGAGCCGCACTCACCTCCCCAGGGAGAGCGGCCCGTTACACAGAGACGCCGCAGCCCCGCTCCGTCCCGCTCGCCTGGCACCGGGGCAAGAGCCAAACCGCGGCGCTGCCCCGACCGCCGCCCGAGCAAGTTGGGGCGTTCGCCGCCGCTCCCCGCGCTCCCCCCGTGATGCTGCGTTCGCGCCCCAACACCGCCGGCCGCCTTTCCGCTCCCTCGCCCGCAAACTCCGGCCCGGCCAAGCGGATTCGCCCCTCGGCCTGCGCCGGGAGCCAGCGGCGGGAGGGGGCCGGGCCCCCCCGCGTCCTGCCCAAGTTGTGTGCGCGCCCCCCGGGCCGCCCCGCTGCCGGGGTCGCCGTGCACCTGCCGGCCGCTGCCCCGGTGCGGGGCCGGGCAGCGCCGCACGCATTTCCCCGCCTTTTCCCACTCTCGAACACGTGCACTTCGGGGCTCGGGCAAGTTGCTCTCCAGCAGGAGACACCGCGCACCCGTCTGGGGGGGACAGGGCCAGCTCTGACAGCCCGGCGCACATCGAGCGGGAGGCAGACCGGCTGCGGCTCTCCCGCTCCGAAAGGCAACTTCTGTTTAATTTCACCGATGGGCAGTTGTTGTGCTTTCCGAGCATTTCCCCCCCCCCCCCCCCCCCACAAGCCAAATCCAAGTGCGACTGGGTGGGGGGCAAAGGGGGGAAGCAAAGCTGCTCCCCCGCACCGAACACCTCCTCTCCCACGCACACCGCCGCCCGCCCGCCCGCGGCGAGAGGCGACGGGTCTCGTGGGCATCTGGGTAGCACGGTGACACACAGTGGCCATGGCTCTCCCCCACCCCCTTCCTACACATCAGTATCCGGGCGAGACTTGCGCTCTGCCATTGCCATCTGGCTACCAAGTTGCTCCAATGCTTCCTACTTTCCGCGGCGGGCGATACCCGGCGCTGCCCCCGCGGCGCAGCCTGCAGCGACGCCTGGGGCGCAGGGCCGGCGGCACGGCACGGCACGGCGCGGCACGGCACACCGGGGCTCGCTTGGCCGCCGCACCTGGGCAGCTGCGCGGTGCCCGCTCGCCCGCAGCGCAACAAAAAAGGAGCCGGCAGCGGCCGGGCGGCAGCGCTGCCTCCCCTCCCGCCCCCGCCCGCCACGGCCCCGCACAAGTTGCTTGTGGGATAGCGGAGCCGCAACTCGGCCGCCTCCCCTCGCCCCGCACCGAGCGGCGCGGCTCTTGGCGCCATGTTAATGACGTACTATCTTATTTCCACTAGGCAGCGACCTTCGGCACGAAACTGCTCTCCCGCCGCCTGCGGAGCGACAAAAAAACCCCATCAAATATGGCTGTGCCGGCGGCCCGGCGGCCGGCGCTGCGGCGGGCACGGTTACCTGCTGGCGGGCGGGCGGCGCGGCCGGGCTCCCCCTGCGCGGAGGGCGCGGGGCCGCCGCATGAGTTCGGCGCGGCGCCGGGCAGCGGGCACGGAGAGCGGCGGGCTGCGCCACACACGCACACACACACTCTCTCTCTCTCACACACACACACACAGATTCCCTCTGACTGACGTTTGTACTTGTTATGGAGGAAGGACTCCGTGAATCAAACTCGTTTCTGGGTCACTGCTGCCACAGGGGGGAGCTGCTTTAATCCCCTGCCAAAACTGGAAGGCGAGGGAAGGGGGGAGAAATAATAATAATAATGCAGCGCCGGGGTGGGGAGGCGGCGGCGCGGCCCCGGGGGAGCCGCCGTTAACTCTTGGCGGGCCCGGCTCCCGCCGCCGCCCGCCCGTCTTCCAGCGGGCTGGAAAAATGCGGATGGGAGGCAACGCCGTGCGGCCGGGCAGCTGGGTAATGATACGTGTCTGCGCCCGCATCCCGCCCGCGGCACTGCTGGCCTTAGCCTGCGACCATTAACGCCTCTCTGCGAAAGATTTAAGGCGATTTCGCAAGCAGGAATTCTAGCGCTGCACTGGCTCCCCGCGCAGAACGCGTGAGTCACTATTTGTCAAGCAGAGAAACTGAGGGTACCATGAGTTAAACGCTGTGGCCACATGCGTAGCGCGTAATTGCCGGGGCAAGAATAAAACTGCACGCTCCCTATTCTCAGCTCCCAGCGTTATCCCTCCGGCTCGTTAACTTTGATACTTCTCAAAGACTAGAAAGAGCCAACACAATCTGCGGTTCAGTTCACATCTTTCTAGCAGGAGAGGAAATTATCTTAAATTGGCACCGAATGACATACTAAACTTCCCATTGCCTAAAAAGCGTGTTTGAATGCAGATTTCCTTATTTTTCCACGTAAATCGCTTTACCTCGCGCCATACACCTGCGCTCCCCGAGTGAAAAACTCCTTCTTTTGAGCAGAATTCCTGAGCAGATACAGTCTGAGGTAATAAACACCACGGAGAAGATTCAGCATAAGCTCAGACACAGAATTAAGGCGATCTGTGTAAAGTAATCCCCATAGTATGCAAATACAAATTAATGCAGCCTCCACAGCAACATCAGTCTGCCAAGGAATCACACCTTAGTTCAGCAGAGGAATTGGGTCGTTACTCATCCATGAAAACTGAGGCATTTATTCTGCTGTCTCACCCACCCACCCACCCAATAATGGAACAGTACTTACATTGAATCTGCACATCCTAAAAAGTTGTACTTTACTACAAAAACATCCTACCCCCTGGAGATATTCTTTCGCTGTGAAAATCAGACAGTCGTGGTTTTATTCACAGAACACCCTGAAGCACCTTCAGATTTTAGTCTAAGACTTTGATTCCCTTGTTTTCTACTACATGAAAATACAAAAAGGCATGCATTCCATACTTTTTTTCCTGCACTTGCCTTGGCATCTAGATCTGTAAAGATACCTGTTGGCATAGCTTTCTGTACATCAGCAGCTTAATTAGGAACATCCATGATGATCCATGCAACACACCCCATCACAGTACCTGATAATTATAATAAACTTACTGACACACCCCCGTCACCTTACCCCTGAACTTCCAGGGCTGTTAATTTTTGATACTGACTGGAAACTTAGTGGTTCTGTATTTCCTAAACCTGTTGGTGTGCCATGGTATAAACCCCAGAACAGAATAGGTCAGAGTTTTTCCCCTGAGTGATCTGCAGGCCCCTCAGGAGCTCAGGGACTACTTCTCTAAGTTCATAAAAAAGTAATCACAGTTAGCAAAGCTACTGTCAATTGGCATTTATTATACAAAGGCATGCACTTCCACTGGGCTAATATGATGATGTTTCTTCTAAATAATTTTCAATAATATTGGCCATTGTAAAAGACCGAAGAACCACAATAAATGTTATTTGTTCCACTTTCCTGAATTCTTTCCAAGAAGTTCAGAACAAGCTTCTGAGAAGAGCTTAAATGTGAATGGGCTCTAATTTCTCAAGAGGAATGACAGAAACTTTCCTGTCTCAAGCTCTTTGGATTTGAGGCAGTATTTTTGTTTCCCTGTAATTAGTTTTCCTTTGCATATATAGCCAAGTTTGTATTACTCATTGTATTTTAGGAAACATTTCTCTTGGAAGCCACGTGAGGCTACGTACATTTAAGATAACATGACTGTTTTCACATTTAAGATAACATGAATGTTTTCACGGTACCATGAATGATGGGCCATGTTTTTAAAAAGTACCAACTATCTCCATTACTGCAGAAATCTCCCCAAATCTGAGTCCTCTATGCTCCACAAGCAGCTAGCCCAGTCTTTACAAGAAGGTTACACTACTGGAACAAAGATGCTATTTTGTCTCTGAGTACAGTGAATCCACAGAAACTCCTCTGGAATAATACACTTCTATGTTTCAAAAGGAAATACTAAAAAAAAAAAAATCAAAGGGCTAGGAGCTGGAGGAATAATTTTGGAAGTGATTGGAAAACAAAAAGAAAAGGCTACTGCTTCAGCACTACAGGTATGAAGTTGTATACCAGTATAGCTATGGTCAAACAAGAGAGAGTAGTCTTCTGCTGCCTGCACTGACTGAACACCAAGGTGATGAGGAAAATTTTGCTGTAAGTAGAGTCAGTAGAAGTTTTGACATCGGCCTTTGTCTCTAATAGGTATTTACCCTCTCAGCAAAGCAGGCACTTTGTTATGATAAATAATGTCATAAGGCTCTGTTCCTCTCTCATCTATCAGTGTTATCATTTATTCCAGGAACACTCAGAGAATATGTATCTAGCTCAGAGTTAGGCTTGTGCTAGCACAGAGAACTTTTGGTTCCTTCTCCAAGTTGTTTCATCAGATACACTCACTTGTATATTAAACTTTATTTTAATTTTTTATTGTTTGATTAGTTTCTTAATGTTTCCCTCTTGGATTGGTAAGTTTTTAGCAGATGCACAAATCCAAGGAAATACTATGTGGCTTTTCAGCACCCTTTTGTGGAAATCTGTTGCTGTAGCAGTGGCTAATAAAATTAATTTTCTTCTTTCCTTCCTTCCTCCCTCCCTTCCCCCTTCTTCCTTTTTTATTTTCTATTTTGATAATACTTCTTTTACAATTGAAATCTTTTCCACTAATTAATACAGTCCTCACACACGAAGGTGGGGTAACAAGGCTGAGTTTCTCCTCACTGTTAAATTTAGTCCAAGAGTATCACTGAAATTTCAAAACTGTTCTTTTGCTCTTTTGGCTCCAGATTTCAGGAACTTCCATTTTCTTTTTTTTTTTTTTAAGATTAGAAACTTGAGGAGAAGAACAGTACAGATCCAAATCAGCACTGTCAACACTAGATTGTACTTAAAGTGTGGGATTTTCCAGAGAACTTTCATATCTCCTGTGAGAGGTATTTTATAGAGCAGAGCCATAAGACAAATGCACAGTTGGGCCAATTCCTTTCGAGGTCCATTCTGTCTCTAGCTGGTCTAATCACACAAGCAAGGGGGGAAAAAAAGATTTTGACTCATGCATATGTAAATCTATACCACTTGCAAGTTGCATAAGTGCAATATTTTTAACTCCTGCAGAAATAATACTTGCTCAACACAGCTCCTGTATGGGCCATAGAGGAACGCAGTTGTCACAGTTTTGTCCAAGCCAAATACATCATTTGTGGCAAGGTGGCACCTGACTGCTTCACAAAATTATGTACAGAGCCCCCACTAATTGGTGCTCTGGCTTTTTTTTGTCCTTCTCATTATCTACAACTACCCAAACTATGTACGTCTGGATTAGGCAGGTCAAAAAGGCTGAGCTCAGGTAGTAAATTATTGCCTTTGACTCTGAAGCTGAGGTTTACAGCTACCAGGATTGCTTGCGAGAATGATTTGTTTATTCATAGGCCATACATCAAAGATGTGATTTCTCCTGTGCTCTCAACCCTCATTCTTCTGGTTTATAGCTCCTTTGGTTTATTGAGATGAAGTCATGGGAGATCTCTAACTGGGTGTGTGGAACAGTATCACAGGAAGGGGAAGCTGTGCCAGTGAAGGGTGAGGATGGAAAGGAATGAAAATGAATCCTCAGAGCTGAACTTTGTATTTAGTGGGCTTGCACAGACAGACCTGTGTACTCTTTTTAATGACAAAACTTGAGAAGTAGAGTTTATAACACTAATTTTATCTGTGGGTAGACAGGGGCCTGCAAAGGTTATATCACTCACACAAGTCACATGTTAAGTCAGCATTTAAACCAAGAATAGAAACCTAAAGTAATGCCTCTCAGTCCAAGGTTTCTAATGATTAAACCATATCCTCCCCTTTGGCCTGGTCCAGCACAGAGCACAGTACAAAGTATACCTCCATGACATTTTGCACATAGATATCTTAAAATGTTTCTGCCAGCCAGACACAATCATTGCATGGACAGGCAACTGCTGACACTGCATTCATATGAAAAGGAAGCAGGGACAGGTACGCCCAATAGGTAAAATTAACTACATTAAAAATCTAAAAGTATAGGTACTGAAATCACATGTTTCCAAATTGTTGTAATTGAAAAGTGGAAGCTGACAGGAAACCAGTCGAACAAGAAGTTCAGTGGAACACTGGAAACAGACTAGCAGGTCTGCAAGTTAAGCTGAATGAAGATGATGCATCACCTTTAAGGGAAATAACACAATTTTGTACATGATGAGAGAAGTAATTAGCAGCCGAGGTAATGCCCTGAGGATTATGAAAAGCTCAGGCAAGTGAGAATTTAGCAGCAACAGATCAAATCTCAGCTGAAGTACCTACACGTGCCTATCTGGCAGCTCATCAGGCAACATTACAACAGCTAATCTAAATGAACTTCAACATTAAATTGTGTTTGTGCAGGCAGAAATCACGTAGTGAAAGAAAGGTGCTGTGACAAGACTTGTGGAAGAGTTCAAAAGAATCTGATTACAGATTTCCTGATTGCAGAGTGCAACCTGATAACTAGTTGCTAGAAGTGGAGCAGTAGCACCAATTCATCACGGAAGTACAGAAAAAATATCAATTTTTCTTTCAGTAACAACTTAGTGCCAAAACTACTTAAAAAAATTTGCAACTCTGAATCTTTAGGAATCAGAGAAATATTAACTCAAAAAAGAAAGATCAGGTGTTCCAATTGCTATGAGCATTTTGTGGTAGCATGTCTACAAAGGGCAGAAATCCTGGAAGTTTTGGGTTGCCTTTGGTACTTGATGGAATCACCACAGAGCAGCTTCTATTTGTGGTGTCTCCTGGGACAACTTCTTCCAAATACAATGACTCACAGTTCATTGAATTTAAAGCTGTTTGCAGGCCATGAAACTGAGGTCTGCCACAGGGGCCAAGAAATGCTACAAACTCCATGGCAAAAAGCAAACCTAGCACAATTAGCCATAGCTTACAGCATAGGAAGTATTCTGTTTGTCCTCAATAGGTATAAATAAGCCCCTCTCCTCAGTTTCCATGCTTGAAAACCCTCTTATGGGGTATGGCAATCATGATTTCAACAAATGGCAAATTTTCTCCTTAAACAGTCAGAGGTTCACTTATTTCAGATGCAGTTGTGCTGAAAC